TTCTCGTTAACTCTCCCTTTTTGACAAGATGTTGCATAAAAAGTGACTGGCCTGTTTAACATATCAAACAGTCATATTGGCGGAAAAAAAGCTAATGTGAAATATACTAACTATTCTACACAGATAGTTTGAAAATCCAATTTTTGTGAACAAGAGCAATTACTCTTCGTGACCGACTAAAACCATTGAAAAATGCGAGGTACAATACCTATATACAGTGTGTAAATATGTATCTCAGTTCTTAATTGTTCTCAGCAAGAAACAGTTCTGTGAGTAGCGCAAACATTTTGTCACTCAGCAAGCAGGAGTTCTTTAATGCCTTGTTAGCTCAGAAATTGCAATGTGCCATACATCATTTCAGGATATTGAGACATCCAGCAAATATGAACAAAGTAAATAGGCTTTGTATTCATTCGTGATTCAGTGTTAATATCTAAATTCCTGGTTTGTTACATTACAAGATTATACATTTAAATGCTTAAGCTGGAATGTAATTATAAAGCTTTTGTACATGGATAGTCTGCTCTTTACTGCAGTGCAGGCAACAGAATATACTTATTAAAGATTAATTACTATAATATTAATAACGTGATTGGTCAACAGGAAATATAATTCTAAATGTATTGGTATGAATTAATACTAAACTCCAGTTACCAAGTGATTTTCTAATTACAGCCTTATTAATCGACATTAAATTGACTCAGGGCAATCCAGATGGTAGAGATACCCAGTTACTGGGTCAAAGTTTTACCATGAATGGGGAGGATGTTAGGCTAATCTGTTAAGTGTCAAAATGAACAAAAGTACATCCTTCTCAACCTTGACTGTCTCTTTGCCAGCTGTGCGCTTGCCACCAGTGGCAAGTCAAGCAGATTCCAATACAGATATTGTTCCCATTCTAAGCATCTGGAGGCAAAACAAATTTAACTCTCACCTTGGAGCTGAGCTTTTGCGGATCAGTGTGATTTTACACAGGGTTTCTGCGGGAGAGAAACATTGTTTTCAAGGCTGGCATTTTCCCAATGAATATGAATAATAATTGTTGCATTTGATATAGCGCCTTTCATAGTGGGAGGATGTCTTACAGCGCTTCACGGGATTAATTGTAGATTGTCGTGACTGCGTGTTTTGTAGGCGAACACGGCATCCAATGGCCTGGTAAGTTTCAAGGCAAAACAACTGATCTATTGAATCAGTTTATCGCATGTTGCAAAATTTAATTGAAAACAATATGCTGCAATGAAACATTACTACAGGCAGATAATTCATTCATAGAAACACAAGCAGGAATGTGACTCTGCAACATCTGTTATTTTGCAGGCTAGGTCAAAATGTTGCATTTGATGTTGATATGGATCTACTCGGCAGAAAGGAAGTTGAATTTAAAGTGGTTACTGGCAGCATGATGCTGGTGGCAATTCTTGGAGTATTTAGCTGCCTGGAGTGATAATTCATTCTTCATTTTATAGGTTTTTGTTTGTTCCTTTTTTTTTCTGTGCTTCATTTCTCTATTGCAGACAACTTAATAGTTCCTACCAACCATGACAAGGTTCTCCCATTTACCACTTTTCTTTCAAATTGTCTTTGAGGAGCAGTTTTTGTATTATGAATAATAACCCTTGCATTTGATGTACTGCTGTTCACTTCAGAAGGAAGTTTTAAAACACTTCAGAGGATTCATTTTGAAGTATAATAATTGTACTTTTATAGGTGAATGTGGCAGCCAATTTGCAAGGAGCTGGCTCGTGGCTTGATAATACAATACAAAATTACATTTGCAAAGCATCTTTCATGTCGGGAGGATGCCCCAAGGTGCTGAACAGTCAGGGATTAGGACCCGAGCTGGGGTGGGGCGGAGGGTTGGTATCAGGAGGGTGGAGGGCAGAGAGGGTAGGAGGGTGGCCAAAGGCATGATCAAAGAGGAGGGTCTTGAGGTGTGCCTTGAAGGAGGCAAGGGAGGGAGCGAGACAAAGAGAATGTGGGATGGAGTTCCAGAGAGTGGGGGCAGAGAGCCTGAAGGCCTGACCGCCAATGGTGGGACGGGCCCAGCAGGGGACATGGAGCAGGCCAAAGCCTGCTGAGTAGAGCGAGCGGACAGGTTGATAAGGGTTAACAATTCAGAGAGAGGTAGGAGGGGGAAAGGCCATGGAGGTCCTTGAAGGTGAGGATGAGAATTTTGAACTCTTTCCTCTGAGGCATGGGGATCCAGTGGAGCCGGGCTAGGGTGGGCGTGATGGGGTCACGGAGCCTGGTGCAGGAGAGGACACGAGCTGCAGAGTTCTGGATGATCTGCAACTTGTGGAGGGAAGAGTTGGGGAGGCCGACAAGCAGAGAGTTGGCACCGTCGAGCCTGTTTGTAATGAAGGCGTGTATGAAAGTTTCCTCGGCCTGAGGGGTGAGGCAGTGGCAGAGTCAGGCAATGTTGCAGAGGTGGGGGAAGGCAGCGCAGGTTACGGCACAGATGTGGGGAAAAATGGACAGTTGAGGGTCGAACAAGACGCCTAAGTTCCTGACTGGCTTGGTGAGGTCGATCGTGCATCCGTGGATGCTGAACCTACAACTCTCTGAGCCCAATCCAGGCTCTAGCACACAACTCCCTGTCTGTCAGCCTCCCCAACTCCTCCCTCCATAGGCTACAGATCATCCAGAACTCTGCAGCTCGTGTCCTCTCCCACACCAGGCTCCGTGACCCTATCACCCCCATCCTCTCCCAGCTCCACTAGCTTTCCATCACACAAAGAATACAATTCAAGATCCTGGTCCTCACCTTCAAAGCCCTCCATGGCCTCGCTCCTCCCTAACTTTTGTGATCTCCTAACCCCCTACCTACCTGGCCACTCCCCCCACTCGGCGGGCTCCAGCCTGCTTCACATCCTCCGACTCACCCATCCTATTATTGGAGGCAGCCTTCAGCCTCTCTGCCCCCACCCTCTGGAACTCCATTCCACTGTCCCTCCAGCTCGGCCCCTCCATTGCCTCCTTCAAGACCTGACTTTTTTTCTACGAGACTTTTGTAGATTTTTGCCAACAAGATTCTGTAGATGAATTGTTTACACCAGTGGTGCTTCTCTCTTATCAGTACTAAACGGCAGCTTGGCCTAGTTGGTAGCACTCTCACCTCTCGGTCAAAAGGTTGTGGGCTGAAGCTTCATGTCGGGATTTTGAGCCCACAGTCTTACCTGATTTTCCACCAAGGCAGCAATGTCTCAATCCTTAAGTTAATTTATTCGTTGAAGTTCATCAATTTCTCTCACTCCTCCCTCATTGTCACTGACACCTCGAACCTGATGTCCTTTAAAATCTCAATGCCGCTAATGCACAATCTCTCTCTTCACACTGATCTGGCTGTGTTCCTAAAATGAATTTCCAATTCATCTCCCTGGCAGTCTACCCCCACCCCACCACAAACACACGCACACACACACTATGTACCTCCTGAAATATGTCTGATCACTCTGTTGTTTTAATGAGATCTGGGGAGGCCTGGCCTCATCCTCATCAGGCTCCGCTGGCTAGCAATAACCGAGCAGATCAACTTCAAGGTCAACCTGACTTTTAAAGCTCTGCATTACCTTGTCCCTCCTACCTTTGTAATCTCATCTACACCTATTCTCCCACTCAGACCTTCCACTCTTCCAGTTGTTCCTCGATCTTTCTGCAGAAATGACAGAAACTGCTGTCAATAGATTGCCACTGACTCCTGCTACAGGAGTGCTGGATTAATCAGTAATAAAATATTACACACGTAATGATGCATTTATCTGTAATTTTCCATGCCCAGCTAAAACAGCTTCACATTTACACACGACAGACTCCAGTTACCTTTCTCATGCATCACATTGCACTCTGCTTTATATTTAACCACCAACAAATACAGAAATTAATCGACTTGTAATGAGCCTTTCATGTTTCTACACCACAGTTTAACTTGTATAGTGCTTTCACATCAGGAGGACAACCTCCCAAAGTGTTTGACAATTCTGGCTGGACTGCAGAACTGAGGGTGGGAGCTGAGGGGATGAGGAGTGGTAACATGTGAGGAGTGGGACCAAAAGTACAGTCAAAGATGTACATTTTGACATGTACCTTGGAAGAGCTGAGGGAGAGAGGGAGCAAGTCTGAGGGACCTGGGAATGCAGTTCAAGAGAGTAGGCGCTAACTATAAAACCATTAAGCCCCCAGCCGGTACCATATCACTTCACTTCGTGGCTGTTTGTTGGGGCATTATTGTACACAAAATTGACTTCCATGTTCACCTACAAAAATACACAGTCACTACATTCTACCTTGGATCCTGTGAATTGATTTACAACATCCTCCTGACATGAAAGGCGCGATATCAAATACAAGGTTATTATTATTATTTATTACCAACTTTGATACCTTTTTTAGCTAAAAGTAAGAGTTCCTTTTAGTGGGTTAAAGCACTGCTTCTTCTTTCTTCTCACTATAATCACAGTGGTTGAGGAAGGCAGAAGGCTGCTGAGACAGTCATAAATATTAAGATAAAGTGGACATTAAAGATTCCATGGCATATTTAGAAAGAGGAGGGAGTTTCTCCTTGTATCCTGGCCAACAATTCCTCAGATTTTTGTGCACAAATTGGCTGCGGCATTCACCTGCACAATATATAGTCACTACACTTTGCAGTATATCCTGCGAAGTGCTTTGAGACATCTCGATAATATCTTAAGGCGCTATATCATGTAGAAGCATTGTAATGTATAAAGCATTATTATTATTATAATTGATTGATGTTCACTGTAAAACTTTCAATATGAAAATCAATATATCCTCTGGCACTATTTTTGTCTCACCGCTGTCATCTATTAATTTTAAACATGTCTCACTGCCATTATCTCACTGCCTTCTCAAATAGCAGCCAAGGGCTTGTCCTCCTTGTGAGTTTCCTGTTCCTGTGTGGTGAGGCTGAATATCTTGAAACGCCTCCAAACGAACGTGCCAATGTATTCCATTTGCTATTGTGTGTTATCTTTCAGATCACCTGTTATGGCTGGAGGCCTATTTGCTGTGGATCGACAATGGTTCTGGGAGCTAGGTGGCTACGATCCAGGCCTGGAGATCTGGGGAGGAGAGCAGTATGAAATTTCATTCAAGGTAGATTGACATTGGAGAAGTCTTGGCTCACAAGTCCTTAAAAACATATTTAGTTGTCCCAATGAGAATTCCTGATTGTTGAGGACAAAGCAGCAGGATTTGCATTATTGGAAGGGATCATATTCTTTAAATATCCTTAGAATAGTGCCTTTTCTGTTATTTGGTTTCAATCGCATGCTTCTCTTTCAATAGTGAGTGAGAAATGAAAGCTTGTTATTCTCAGCTATAGCAAGTTTGATTATGCAAAGTGCAACATTATATTTTATGGAATGGATCAGACTGGAAATACACTGCTAATATTGCATATGACTGAATACAGGATTGTGTGTGTGCTCATGTGCAAACAAATGCATCTCATGACTGTCACTGTGTCTGTCCTGCATGCCAGAGAGGTGTTGATATAGATTCATGTCCCACAGTTTCCCATGAAAGGTCTTGATCTCAACCAACCTGCCTGGATTAAGGCAAGCAGCATACACAAAGCAGCCATCCACTAACCGCCCGCCCTCCTTTCCCAATTACTGGCGTCACAAGGCCACAAGATTCGGCCCATTTGATCTCATCCCTCCAGAACACCCACTCTGCCGTCTTCCTATCACCCATCTTTCATGGCAACCTGTTCCAGTCAATAATTGTTCTCTGAGTAAAGAAAGTATCCCAGTATCTGTCCTTTGTATGACGGAAAATGCTCTTTGCAATTTTAAGGAGCTGTATTAAATGCAAAGATTATTTTTATTATATAAAAACACACACATAAACACATAAATATAGATACACACATACTGTACACACACAAAAATATTTAAACACACACAAATATAGATAAATGCATACCAGAAGTCGACCTGCATGACAGTATGGTTTGACAACAATTTATTATGGTAGCAAAGTAATTTTAATTTAACGTTCCTTCATATCAACCATTTATTTTACCTGAAATCTAATCTGCTTCTTTTTTAAAAAAATGGATGAACCTCAAGTTTAGTTGTACACACCTTTCCTCTCTTTACTATAATTTAGGACAGATGTGGGGGAGCATTATTGAATCGGGAAGATATCAGGTGCAGTCAAACTGCTATTTACTGTGCCTGTCAAAAGCCTGCCGTCAGCTGAGACTTGATTATTCTATTTTCACGTGCTCTGTCATTTTGTGCACTGATATTGAAATGCAGGCCTCACCTCCTTGTCTGGTGTCTGAAAGGAGCCATGGTAACAGCACACAGAGTTCAGATGCTAAATTGCCCCATTGTATTTTGTTCAAGGAACAGATTTTTGGGAGATAGTCATGTCACAAAGGGCTCCATCTTAGTCATCTTCTGTCATCTGTCTCATTAAAGATACTGACCTCAAGGCTCTGCCCGTGCTTATTAAGATAAAGGAGGTAATGGGTAAGAAATTCTCTTGCTGACAGGAATGTGATGGAGGATGAAGGTCTGCGTGACATTGGAAATCACTACGATTGTGGTTGATGGAAAGCTTGCAAATATGGAGGGGTAAAGCAAGCAGATGATGAACCATATTGACAACATACATACAAGCGTAACTTGCAATACAGAAACGTCCTTGACTCCTTAAGAACTTTGGAAAAGTTGAATGCAGAATTATTTTTGAAAATGAAAATGCTGCATTACCATCAACAGTTCAGCCCAAGTTGTAAAGTTTGTTTGTGGAAATATTCATATAAATAAAATGGAATGCATGCTCCTGGAGCAGATGATGTAGCATTGGGAGGCAATGGGATTAGTTTCTGGGTTTCTGATTCAGACAAATTATTCGGGAGCGTGAGGGAAAATGATGGCAAAAATAGTCTTCCTTCCTTCATAATAGCCAACTTCTGGATCATCAGATCTTGAGCGATGTCACTTCCTGCGGAATGACATCACACTGATCAGTAACATCACAACAAAGAAATACTGACCAGTAATTGTGCCCTGTTATAAAGCTGGTTGTGATTTTATGACCTACTCCCTCCCCCCTCCCCCCCCCCCCCCCCCACCCCCACACCCCCCCACACACACACACAACTACCACACTCTAGTGGACTTCTATTTTATTTCCATAACAAATACCACAATAAGAAAATTGTACATTCTGCATGTTTGATTGCTGAGAGCTGAGAGTAAAACTGATCCAGAAAGGAAATACTGTCAAAATTTTCAGTAAACGCCAGTTAAAATCCAGATTATTTTATCTACTATACTATTTCAACATCTGGACACCTTGTCTTTTTTTCTTCCTCCTTTTTCTAGGTCTGGATGTGTGGCGGCCACATGTATGATGTTCCTTGTTCCAGGGTAGGACATATCTACAGAAAATACGTCCCGTATAAAGTTCCCTCTGGGACCAGTTTAGCCAGAGTGAGTACCTGAAATTTAGTCATCCTTCATATCTTCACAGGAATTGCGCAGCTGAGGCATGGAACTGTATTGCATTGGTGTCACCACTCCCCTCCCTTAAACCTGTGGGGTGAAGGCAAAGGCATGCAAGGACAAGACATTTGAGAGAAATAACTGGTCCATAAATAGGTGAAAAAGTGGCCAGATCTTCAGGTGCGCTGTAATGGGTTGGCAGAAGGGGTGGTTGAGGGTGGGATGCTGGGCTCATTTAGAACAGTTTGATGTGTGATGGGTGGAGATAGTTATTCTGGAAGGGGGATATCAAATGAACAGAAGGGCCTTCTTCTTCTCCTCTCCTGTGACCTCCTGGCCTCCATCGCTGTTGTTTCCATGTCAGTTGATCAAGAAAAACAAAGTTCCACAAGTCCAGAGAGTGAGCAAAGTTCACAATGCCACCACATTGCTTGTGCCACAAATTCTGTATGTGTGCCAAACAAAAAACAAGGAATTCCAGGAACTATATAATAACAATAATCTTTCAATTTGATATTGCGCCTTCTATGTTGGGAGAACATCTCTTAGCGCTTCACAAGATATACTGTAAATTGCAGTGATGTGGACAATTTGTTATTGGATCCAACCTAACCAGCGATATATCCTAGGTTTTCCATCTCCCCTGAGAGGGAGGCCAACAACAGGAGAGAGGTCTAGAGAGAGTGTTGGGTAGGAAGTGGAATAGGGGAATTATCCTAGGAGTGGACTCAACAACATAACTTGCGTTTATATAATGCTCTTCACATAGGATAGCACCTTGGAGTCCTTCACAGTGACGTGATCAGATGCCGAGCAATGGAGAAGGGAGAGCTAGAGTTGGGAGGAGAGGGGAAATGGGAGATAACCATAGATACAACCAAACAGCTAGACGTTTAAAGGATTTATTGTTGTTTATTTCAAAAGTATTTCCCCTCGCTCCCTCACTCACACTAATTGGTTTTCCTCTCAATTATCCTTCCATCCCAACAATTCCTTTCCAGCTGTTGATCACCCTCTGAAAAGTAATCTTTTTGTTTGGTTAGAATTAGAATGGAAAACCGTTGCAGTAATTGTACAAATCAAATAATTCTCAACTAATACTCAGTGGAGGGATCACCCTGTGTTTTTAAATAACTTAGCAATATGTGAAAGCAATGCAATGTGCTGCAATGCACTTTGTGTACCAGAACTCAGGTTGCTTTTGCTGTTCTTGTACAATTCACGCTTTTCACTTGCATGTGTTGACCCACCTTCTTGGCTTTTGGCACAATGTGCGTGGTGGCAAGTGTCTCTCTTGGAGACGAGGTGCTCCAGCTCCCTCCGATCATCATCTGTGAGCCATAACTGCAGTCTTAACACAGTCTGCTGCACATGACAAGCTTTTTTGGCCGCTCCAGGTGAAACTGGCACCGTGTCAACTCCCTGGCTCCAAACACATGCCATGTAATGTAACGCTTAAGGATTACTTCATTAAGTGAGTGGAAGAGCATATTCAAAGCTTTGCATTGTTTCTTGTGCCAGGCAGCAATAGTTTCCCAGCTAGTCTTTCTTGTCCAACTCTGCCATGCACAATTGTCGTCAATACAGATGTTGGACTCGATAACTGTATCTCTGTTCCTGATGTCTTAAGTACCGAATTAGGTTATCCAGATATTGTGCTGCTGATCAGAATATAGTTATTCCATTTGCCACATTACTAAAAACATTTACTAAAAACACATTAATAAAAACAGATTATGCCAACAATCCCCCAAATAAAATTGCCCATTGACTTCATGGCCACTTGTCGGACATTGCTGTACACAAATTGACTGCCATGTTCACCTAAAAGACACTTTACAATAAATCTTGCGAAAGGCTTTGCGATATCACAAAGACATGATAAGGTGCTATATCAAATGCAAGGATTATTATTATTATTGTTCATTCATCTCATTACTGATTGTGGGACATGACTGGTGCACAACAGACCAAAATAAATGTGTTCTCGACACTGCCATTCAGACAGGTATCCAGTTAACTCCTGTTTGGGTGAACATTTTCCTTTGACTGAATTTAAATCTCGTATTTCCGTGCAGGTTGCCATCCCAACATTGTTCAAGTGCTTTTGGGACTTTCTTTTGCATGAAATGCAACTAAAATCCAACTAAAAATGCACTTAACTTTCCCTCAAAAGCAGTCACCTTTTAGAGGATCACAAGAGAGCTTTGGTTGAAGAAGGCACTTCAGCTTATTTAAATAAAAATAAAATAACAATCCTTGCATCTGATATAGTGCTTCTCAAAGTGCTTCACAGGATTTTACCATACTTTACAGTGAATGTGTATTTTCTAGGTGAATCCTTCCAGTATACCCACCTTACTGTGCTCCCATTGCAGCATCCATGAAGAGTCATTAAGGTAGTAATCACAGATACTCGAATTCTGTGCAAGGGCTTCTCTTGAATGTTCCAAGAAAATGAAAGTGTAGGGAAAAAATCGATTATCTTTTGGCACTCTGTGAGCTCTGTCGCCATCACCAGACCCAGCAGAAAACTATTTCAGCAGCTGTGTGTCAGATGGCTTCGAGTAGGCTTTGGGGTGAGGTCACCTGGCAATGCAAGGATCATTACTTTCACTTGGAAGAAATCCATTACCAAACTGATTGCCTCTTCAAGCACAGAGAGCAAGATTTGACCAGCGATGGGCACAAACAGCAATGATCAAAAATTGTAATAAATGATAAATAAATAATCCTTGCATTTGACATAGGGCCTCTATCGTATCTTCGAGACGTCTCAAAGCGCTTCACAGAAAATACTGTAAAGCGAATTGACCGTATATCTTGTGGCCAAATGCAGCAATAGTTAAAAACTCTAATGGTCAAAAAGTCATCAGAAGTATTTATGATCCATTTTATTAGCAGCTCCAGTTAGATGAGACAGCTGTACAAGTTCAAGCAGAAGTGTTTCCTCTGAGGCTATGTAATGGCTCATATCTATTCAGCCCGCAGATGGAGCTGAACATCGGCTTCAATGAATTATAATTACTGAAGGGCCAAATTCTGTTCTTGTCAATCTTGTTCATTTAAAAACCAGGGGAATAGTAATAATCTTGATGTTCCCTCCTTGTATTCCCCTTGCGACATTGCAGCATAAATATTCTCAATAAATACAGGCACACAAACCAGATAACCTCTGAGCCCAAAATACCAGAAATCAAAGTAGGTCAATTTAGCAACTGAAGAGTTTTGTCATGTGAGATCTGAAAGCTCCAGTGTACAACATGTAGTGATACCTTTGGGATCAGAGGAGAAGCAGCCTATTCTCATTGAGTTCGATAGAACACAAGTTTAATTGTTGTATGCGGATGGTTGAATCTTCACTCAGAGAAGCCCTGACACAATGTGCAGCGAGAAAGGCTGCATCTGAATCAGTGCTGAAGAGATTGCTGACATGTGAACAATTTCACTTTTTTNAAATAAACAAATCAGACTTTGCAACCAAATGCAGAGACAACATGTTCTTCCCTGAGTGCTATAATTCTGTGATAATAATTAGCAGCATTGAAGTATCCCCTGCTTTCTGTTTAATCTGAAATCATTCCATTATTTTCCGTCTCAGACAGAACCAAGCATGAATGAAGGGCTATTTTGCACACCAGCATTGCTTCTTGTAATGATAGAGCAGCTCTGAAGCCAACTTGACTTGGATAGCCTGAAAATGAAGACTGTAAACTACCCCAGTTCCAGTCACAAACATTCTTCCTCTTTCACACACTCAGAGAAAGCATATGAAACACATTGTATCCACAACTCAGTACACCAGCATTGCAAAGGCCTAAATTACCGCCTGTCCTCTCCACCAGAGAATAATACATCACCATTCAGCATATTAATTCTGCTTCGGGACGTCCTCCTGACGTGAAAAGCGCTATATCAAATGCAAGGATTATTATTATTATTATTATTATTATTATTATTCCAATAGACAAGGCTTACTTTGACCTGTCATGGATTATCCCAGATTTATTCAATCCCCTGAATGTGAGGAATAGCCAACAGTAAAACTTCTAAGAAGATAAAATTCTGCAGAATTTCATCCCGCCTAAACCAAACAAAATTGATCATAAATTTCCCAGGAATTGATCTAACGTTATAATTTACTTAGGCTGGATTGTATTTCACAAATAATTTTTCCAAATGGTCTTGAGCCAACATAATAATGCTTGCATATCAAGTTGTCGAGACATCTCAAAGCACTCACAGGATATAGTGTAAAAATGGTCAAATGGAGTATATCTGCAGTTATGTACACAACCTTTGAATGCATTCTTATTTTTCAAGTTTTTTTTTAAAAACGAGTCAAATGGTAATTGTTTCACGATCACCTACTAAATATCCAATCACCATATTTTAAATCTTGTGAAGCACATTGCGATGTACAGCATATCTCATCTTCCTAACATGTACAGCAGCATATCAAATGCAAAGATTACTGTTATTATTATAATAAGATAGCCCCACATGGTTTCAAACATTATTAGGCCTTGTAACTCACTTTATTAAAGACTTGTGTTCAACTGCCAGATACCAGAACAAAAAACACTGAACAAATAGCTTGAGAAAGAATAATTTTACTGTATGAATGGTGTTTACAGATCTGGAGGATATCTGCTTTTGCCTGGCATCTCTGTACAAAACAGACACTCTTCTGAAGTGCTTGAATTCTTAATTTTGGATGATGAATAATACAAGTGCAAATTGTGGATTTGTGACACAATAAAATATCTAACACAATAAAATATTGAGATGCATAAGAATGCATTAAGGCAGAATCATGATGTCTGGTCTAAATAAGACATCCCGGGTTTGCTATCAAACATGTCACATGAAGATGACAACATTAACTCTTCAGAAAGCATGCTGATTAGGTGCATTAACTCAACATGCTTCCAATTCTGCAGAGAACTACGAAATTGTTATCATTAAGGATTCATCGGAAGGATTTTTGGTACCTGTTAATTTTGTTGTTGTTGTTGCTTACTGCTTTATTGTGCGAGGCTGGTGACATAATTCATTATTCTCTCTGTAGAGCGAGTGAAGAGAAGCTTTACAGTGAAAGAGTAAGAGTCTGAGAGCATCGATTGCGATTGACGTACATTAAATTTAAAGGAATCATAATTGGGAAATGATTCAGATGCAAAATAACCAGCCTTCAGTTCTGTTAATTGTATGAAAGCAGCAGTTTAATTGCTGAGGTTAAAACAATCCCAAGTTGGTGGATGTGAGGATTGTACAGGTGGATGGGGACACTTTGCGGTTATTAGTAATCAATAAGGAAACACATGCAGTGTATGACAAGTTCAAGTACATGTGGCTAGCTTGCAATAATTCATTAAAGACTTTGAAATCTCCTGCAGGGTTTGATTTTGATTGACACATAGTAATAGTAATAATAATCCTTACATTTGTGATTCCTTTCAGGATTTATGATTCATGTCAGGAGGAGCTTCACAGGATTCATTCTAAAATGTTGTCACTGTGTATTTTGTAGATGTGTGTGGCAGCCAATTTTGCACCTGGCAGTGTCCCATAAACAGCCATGAACTGAATGACCAATTTTATCTGGGGCTATTGCCCAGGACATTGGGAGAAACACCCTTGTCATTTTGAATAGTCGCCACAGGAATTTTAATGTCCACCTGAACAGGCAGGCAGGAACGTGGCTTAACATTTCATCTGAAGGACATCACTGGATGAAAAGTACGATGTAATGAAGAGGAAAAATAAATCATTTATGGCAACTTCTTACATTAATATTAATCATTTACATGCCCTCCTAATTCCTCGCATTTACATTCCTCTTAAACCACGCTTTTGGTCATCTTTCTCCTTCCCACCCTCTGCAGGAACCATTCCCCAACTCAGGTGCAAAGCAGTGTGAAGCAATTTAAGATGTCATCCCAAAATGAAAGGCGATATAGGTAAATTGCATTGTATTTAAGGCAGGAATCGATTGTCAGCCCATCTAGCATATCCATCCAATGCAAGGATTATTATTATTTCCACAAGAAAGATAGATTTGTGGTGGGTTTCAATGCAGAAGGATGAGTGGTGTGCTTGGGAATTCCTCGCATTTTTAGTTTGCTTTGGGTATGGTCAGTGAGGGCATCCAGAGATTGTCTCAAGCATATCCAAATATTGTTCACCGACAATATCTTAAGATGTCAAAAAGGTGTCCTAGTCAATAATGCTCCAGGTAAAAGCAGTCATTCACTCACAGCTGTTTGTGGGATATTGCTGTGTGCAAAGTTGGCAACAAAATATACTGTCACACCACTTTACAATAAAATCTTGCAAAGTGCTTTGGAAGGTTTCAGTAATATGATAAGGCACTATCTCGAATGCAAGGTTTATTATTACTATTTTAAGTTGATTTTACATTATATTCATATGTGATAACGTACATATGTTGCTGCTGCTTACAGAATTTGAAGAGAGTGGCAGAGACCTGGATGGATGAGTATGCAGAGTATATCTATCAACGGAGGCCTGAGTACAGGCATCTCTCCACAGGTGACCTCACAGCCCAGAAAGTCCTGCGGAAGCACCTCAAGTGTAAAGATTTCAAGTGGTTCATGACAGAGGTCGCCTGGGACCTGCCAAAGTACTACCCTGCTGTGGAGCCATCACCAGCTGCCTGGGGAGAAGTGAGTAAGAGGAGATCACTTACACACTACACACAGCAGCTGGGCAGCAGCTGAGCAACATCTGAGCTCCTTGCACATGGGGGATTGTCTGGCAAAACCTATTACCAGACCTGCAGTCACGTCACATGAACATCTTCAGCATGTTGATGCCGTCTCAAAAAGCTGCACTTTAGAGTGCCGTTAACCAAGCGTGTGAATGGTCAATATGTGGACGATAATGAGTGTGAACTAATCAAAGTAATGGGATATGAGATGGGCTACATAAGTGAATGAGAAACCAAAGTGAGACCCAAAGTAGAGAATCACGGTCTACAGTGACCGGTCTACAGTGCAGTTGAAAATAATGGGGAATTGGTCGTGCTTAATGGGTAAGCCTGGATTTTAAAAACTTGTTAATTACAGGAAGAGTCACCAGGAAGATAAGAAGTTTCACAGACTTGAAGCCCTCAGAAAAAAGGCGTTAGAGCAGGATACGATGCACTGTGCTTATTCTTTCACTGGTGTTCCAATATACTTTCAATGTAAAGCTACCACATGCTTTGTCAAATGATGATGTGGGGGTTGCTTCACAAGAGATCATCTGTCTTTTTCCTAGCTTTTCCTTTGGCTTGTGTTCTGCAAGTCAAGACCTTAACGGATAAGGTGTCCCCGGCGAGCCAAGCAGCAGAATAAGCTTGTCGGACAATGCTCTCAATGGGAAGTGGTTTCAGCTGGTTAAACCTGCAGCAGTACCATCAACACAGACTCTGGAGGCCTCAACCTTGGCTATTGCCAACTGACATCTAATCCTCTCCAGAATCAGGGAGGCAGGGGGCATCTCCAGAGAGAGAGGGTCCACTCCATTCCAGACACAGGGAAATTGCATGTGTAGATGGCATACACATGCCAAGCTCTGAGTCTGAATTTGAAATCCTGTAGCTTTAGTGGTTAGAGAACTTGCCTCGCAAGCAAAAGGTTTTGGGGGCTGCGTTTCGCCCACAAAATATACTATCAATTCACTTTACTGTGTATTATATGAAGTGCTTTGAGACGTCTCCACAACGTGATAAGGTGCTATATCAAATGCAGGGATTATTATACTGTTGAACATGGTAATGGGTTTGCACATGTGACCAAAATAATTCCATTCCAACTAAAACTTATCTCTCACGTCTTCACGAGTGCAAAACAATACAATATAATTTACACTTATAGTGTGTTTTACGTAAGGTAGATGTCCCAAAGTGTCCCCCGCCCCCCTTCTCCCCCACACCCTCGTGCACACACACAAAAACACAAATCTCCTTCACTCTCAAGGTGATTCCTCCACCAGATCTTATAGCAGCTTGGTTGCTTTTCCTGCACAAGTTTTATTTTTCAATTCAATGATAAATAATTATAATAATGACAGACATCTCAAGTCAGACAGACATCTCAAAGCATTTCTCTAGATATACTGTAAAGTGCAGTGAGTTTATTTGGCAAACCCAGCAACCCAGTTGCACACAGTAATATCCCACAAACAATGATGAAGTAATGACTTCACTGCATTCGTTCAAAGTGAATGACTTTATAGCTAGAAATAGAAATAATCAACCAACAGCGGATATTGAAATCGACCAGGCTCATCTGATCTTGTGAAATTAAACATTAAGATAATAAGCTTCGTCCATTTTTCTATAACTGTATCAATTCCTGATTGTACTAACTTTTCAAATGATAGAACAAGTGGGGGTTTTTAAGAGACAAACCAGTGATGTTGCACTCTCCACCACAAGGATCAGGTCAGTGCTTTTTAGATTTTGAAAGAAAAATACATTCTCAGGATAGAGCAGCCAAGAAGAACAGCACAGACTGCATCACAGCACTGTGATGCTGGGTGAACCACTTCAACAAGAGATTAGGAAGTGGCCTTTGCATGGATCTGTTCAGTGAAGTGTGCTGATTTCAGCTGATGTCCATGCCCTCTGTCTCAGTCAGTACAGGAAGACTCGATTCACTGCAGCATTAACTCAATCTCAACCACCACTCCACTAAAGCCCTTGTAGCACTTTCCTTCGTTAGTCCTGAAATAGAAGATATGTTAAACAAGGTACACATCTTCATTCTCAAGGTGATTCCTCCACCAGATCTTATAGCAGCTGGAGTCCATGACTCCCTATGCAGTGAGCTCCCATTGTATACTACAGTCTTCTCTCCCATTCCTCATGTTCAGCTTATATTGCTGGAGGCAGTGTGTCATTAATTCAAACAGTAGAATAACTCAAGAATGGGAAGTATATCCCATTCCAAATTGCCCTCACCAACAACAATTGTATAGCGGGAAGACATCACAAAGTATTGGGACCAGAGACTGATCTAAGGAGAGTTATGGTTTTGTGCAACTGACCCAACACTAGGCTTCATGAATTTTGGTATTATTTAAAGGGCTGGTCTTCAATGGGCACCAACATTTGAAGGTATGAAGGTCGACTCAATTCACAACTCCTGTATTTAAACCAGCTCCTAAAGATGGTCTCAGCAATTGAGCTTTAGTGGATGGTACCAGGGATACAACTATCAGATTGGATAAGTTGTGACATTTCTCTCTCGAGATGAACTGATTGAGAGGGGCCCTGATAGAAATGTTTAGGGTTATGGAATAATTTGATAAGGTGGATGTTGATAGATTGTTTCCACTTGTTGGTGTGTCCAAAATTAGAGAGCAAAAATATAAAACAACCAGTAGTAGATAGAATAGGGTGTTTAGGGTGATGGGAAGGTGGAACTCCCTACTGAAAGCTGTGTTTGAAGAAAATTGCATCAATATATTTAAGAGAAAATGATGCACACATGATGGAGAAGGGAATGGAGGGGTAAAGCTGTGCCTTTGGTCACCTTCCTCCCCGTCCCCTGGCTCGGCCCCGGGATCCATTACTGTGAAGCGCTCTGAGATGCCGTCCAGCCTGGAGGGTGCTATATAAATCCAAGTTGTTGTTGTTGTAATAGGAGCGGTGGGTGCTCTTGTGGAGTATGAGCACCAGCACTTACTAGTTGGACTGAATGACATGTCATTCTGTGTAACTCTACGTAACTCAGTGTGACTCACTTTATGAGCTCGGGGCTTCCCGCCTCTTTACACTGGAATGTTCAGTAATTACAGGGCTGAAGAAAAATGAAAAATAAACTAGGTTAAAAGAGGCAAACCCACAATGCGAGTGTTTCTCTTTTAATCTCTGAGTGCACATTTGCTGAAGAACGGCATTGACAGGTGATTGATAAAATAAACCTAAAACATTACTTTCAGATGTGCTGAGACAGTGAAGCTCAGCCCTGGCACCATATTGGAATATCAGCTTAGTCTGTGAGTTCAAAGTGCCAACGTGTGGCTTGAACCACAACCTTCTGACTCCCACCTGAGCAATGCTGATTCACAAGGAATTTAAGTAGCACCTTTCACATCTCAAAGCACTTCACACAGCTAACTGGATACCCGAGCTGGGGAGAGGGGGTTTGAATTAAAGGGTGACCAAAAGCGCAATTGAGGAAATAGGTCTTAAAATGGGCTTTAAAAGTGGTGAGGGAGAGAGTGAGGTAGAGTAAGTCTGGAAAAGGAGTTCCTGAGAGCGAGGGCAGATTGACTGAAACCTTAAAAGAAGAATAAGGATAAAAACAAAAGGTTTATTTGTTGTATGAAAGCTACATTGTAAAGGTTAAACTTCCCTTTTTCCGAATGTCTTTTTATTTCTGGATGTAATTAAACATCTTGCCAAGATGAACAGTAGTACCGTAAACCTTCTGCTGGTGGCACTGCTGAGCAATTAAAGCTCACTGTTCTCAGCATCACATCCAATGGTTTCTTTGTGTTTCTGCAGCTTCGACTTTACACCATTACACTCAGAGACACCATTTTTTCCTTGAGCGTATTATGTTCCAATGCTGAATATGCATTAAAATAAGGTACTTGTATAATATAGTCCAGTAAGAAAATATCTGTGCTAAAATAGTATCAGTCTGGCTCAGTTGGTACCAGCAGTCTATCCTCTTAACCAGAAAGTTCTGGGTTCAAACCCCATCATCGGGACTTTATGCTGACAGCCTAGGTTGACAGTCCAATGTAGTGCTAGGGGGAGTTTTGCATTGTCAGAGGTGTCAGCCTTCAGATGAGTTGTTAAACTGAAGTGCACAGCTTCCCAAAGATCTCATTGCACTATTTGAAAAGAGAAGGGAATTTCTCCCGGTGAACAATCCCTGATCTAAAACTGCTTATTTGTCTACAGAAATGCACATTCACTTCACTTCACAGTAAATCCTGGAAAGCATTTTGAGACATCCTTCTGATCTGAAAGGCATTATATCAAATGCAAGGATTATTATTGTTAGCACTATTAATGTCATAGAGCGGGCTAGACTGATGCTTCACGGATTCAGTCATTGAGTTGTCAGAGGATCCATCTCTAGCACATTCAGGGAACATCTGATGTGGGAAGTATCAAATAATATCAAATAATAATAATCTTTGCATTTGATGTAGCGCCTTATCATGTCTTCAAGACATCTCAAAGCTCTTCACAGAATATACTGTAAATTGAATTGACTGTATATTCTGTGAGCGAAAATGTACCAAATGTTCACTAAACTGAATCCAATTTGTGCAATGTGTTGGTCTCTTACTCTCCTCTGGTTGATACATTCACTAATCTTGGCATTGGGAGCCTACAATGTGAATCCTCTGAGAAGCTGTCATAGCCAAGGTCAGTAACTTCACCAATGATCAGAAAATCACTCCCAAAGATGTGAAGAAAAGGAATTCAATATCAATGAAATTGAAAGTGCTGTGACATTTGTTATTGGGTTCTCATGGCTATTTAATTTGAGCAATTTCAACATTACAATGTTTTTTTAGTGTGGCGAGAATAGAATTCCTGAAATACCATTAAAACCAAATTAAAACCCAGAGTTTCAATAATTTAATTGTTCTCATTACCAGAAGTTGCACGGCAAGCAGAAAAGCCATATGTGCATTCCCATCAAAGGACTGC